CTTTTATTTTTGTTTGGGTCACTTGAAAATTACGTTTTGTTTGTTATGCTTCTTTGTTTTGAGTTCGGTGAATTGGTTGAGGCAAGATATGTCTTTAGGTTGTGTTTATATAATTTTGATTGATAGTCAGAACTCCTGTAATCACATTATATTTTGAAAATAGGGAGAGGAAACTTCTCTGAAAATTACCGAAAGTTGTGATATAGGCCTAGCTGGCATGGACAGAAATGTATAGGTTAAACAATATAAAGATGAAGTGTCAAACAACACCAAAAATACGTGACATTTGGACATTATTTCTCCACAACTATTAAAAAACACGACACATTTTATTAACATGTGTACACTGGCGAGCAAAAGTCCGCCAACACTCACAGCCCGACACGTGATTCTGCGCGTCGCCACTAGATGGCAGTTTTCGACGCGTCCACAGTATAGGCGAGGAAGAAAGAGGGAATAGGGAGGTGTAAGGGCAGGGAGGGGGGAAGGCAGGGTATGGGGAGGAAAAGGGATGGAGGGATAACAAGATTGATTAGTGGGGAGAGCCTTTCTCACTCACTCACTCTCTCTCTCTCTCTCTCTCTCTCTCTCTCTCTTCTCTCTCTCTCTCTTTCCTCTCTCTCTCTCTCTCTCTCTCTCTCTCTCTCTCTCTCTCTCTCTCTCTCTCTCTCTCTCTCTCTCTCTCTCTCTCTCTCTCTCTCTCTCTCTCTCTCTCTCTCTCTCTCTCTCTCTCTCTGATTCCTATAGAGGACTACATTATCTAAGGCATATTTTCACTTCCTTTGCATAGTAATGTAAGGCCTGAGGTATGATAAATTTAGATCTATTTTTGCAGATGTTTGTTCCTGAGTATTAATATAACATTTGGTATCTCTTTTCATATTTGTTATATGAACCTCTGTTATTTAGCAGTCTCATGTTTTAGAAATAGAATTACTAGAAATTAGGACATGGAACTCTCACATTTCCGACAATTTTTGGGAAAGGATGTTGACTGGTGAAATTTGGTAATTATAGCATCTATTATTTCATCGGATTTTTATTTTTATGTCCCTCACTATATAGCTTGTATTTATATATCATGTGTCATTCATTCTGTGAGAGCGAGAGGAGAGGAAAGAGAGAGAGAGAGAGAGAGAGAGAGAATCCAACAAACAATGGAGAATGAAAAATAATGAAAGATAATGATAGTGACCAGAGAACACCCAATACTTACTTTATAACCACTGACACTAGGTTCTTTCCCGACCCTATCCTGTTTCCTTATCCTGTTTTATTATTCCCTCCCCCTCTTCTCCCTTCCTCATCCCTCTTTTCTAATAGACACAACGATCGCCCCGCCATCTGTGGGCGACTCGGAGAACCATAAACCAGGTTAGGAGAGCAGGAGAACTTATGCTCGTGAATGTAGATCTAACATTCTACATTTAACCCTTTGTCATTTTTAAAAAGTACATTTTAATTGCACAATATTTGTTCAAAAAAGTACATTTTATTTGCACAATATCAGGTGAATGTCAAAAAAGTACATTTTATTTGCACAATATCAGGTGAATGTCAAAAAAGTACATTTTATTTGCACAATATCAGGTGAAAGTCAAAAAAGTACATTTTGTTTGCACAATATCAGGTGAATGTCAAAAAAGTACATTTTATTTGCACAATATCAGGTGAATGTCATTCAGTGTGAATTAATGAGTAACTTCACTACATATGAGAGATATTTCTCCCTCCCTCCACGTGAACCAACAGCTTCAGTATTTACAATAGCCTTCTAAAACTAGAGGTAATAGTAATCAGAACATTATCTAAAGCCCAAAGAGCAGGACAACAGATATGAGACCGATAAAAATACGCTATGACAGATAAGAACGCTTATTCATTTTTTTTCTACGAGATTTTAAATCAGTAGAAATGACACTTGATGTGATACGCACTGCTTCCATAAAACGACCCGTGTGTTTGTTTAATATTTATTGAAAGGAATGATCAAATTTATCCATGGAAATAACTAAGGAGCATAATATGGTATGGTAGCTAGATACTGATATATGAACTTAATATATTCTCTTATACAGACATGGAAAAAACAACTTTATTTTAGGATTTTGAGTAGAAATTGTCACTGATTGAAAAGGGAAAATGACACGGGAGGATTTGATAGTATTTTCTTTCAATTTTGCTGCATTAGAGAAAGAGAGAGAGAGATACATACAGAGAGGACGAGAGAGAGAAGGAGGGAAGGAGACAAAGAGAGTGAAGAGAGAGATAGAGAGAGAGAGAGAGAAGGCGGGGGGGAGAAAAGACAAAGAGACAGAGACAGAGAGACATAGGGAGAAAGGGAAAAAAAGAGAGAGAGGAGAAGGGGGAAAGAAAGAGAAAGAGAGAGGAAGAGAGAAGAGAAGGTCGAAGTGAGGAAGAGGAATGCGCAAGATAGCGCCTTGGGTTTCTCTCCTTCTCTTTCCTTTCTTGACACAACACCTTTAAGAACACCTCTACACCGTGTTGTGATCGAGGGAGAACTTCGAGTTGTGAATGCACATAGAAAACGGGGTTTAAGGGAATCTATTTTAAAGGCAAGAAATGTAAAACTTGGAGAGAAAATGCATCAATAAGAGAGGATAGCATTCATAACACGCGAATTAATAAATGTAAATATGTAAATTGATAAATAGAACAGAGTTATGGACGCGGGTCAATCAACAAAGAGAAAGAAAAGGAAGATTATGTCAATAGATTTTATTATTTTTTTTTCTTTAAAGATAAAATGGTATCATGAAACGATATCAATAACGGGAGACGGGTTGCCAGATGTACGATAGAAGTAAATTACAGCGCGGCTGAAAAATACATTTTTTTGTTTTGTTTAGTTTTTATTTTTTATTTTAAGAGAGATAAGAAAAATAATAATTTCTTGTTACGCCGAGGGATTGTAATACAAGTTAATGTATTAAAGATAATTAACAAAAGAAAAGAAAAAAAGGATTAAAAAACGAAAAAAAAACTTGTGACACGTATTATATATTTTATTTAAGAATTTAATTATTCTTCATCACTTTAATGAAGGACTTTGCTGATCATTTTAGGAAATTCAATTACTCTGCTCCATTTTAATTAAGGATCCAGTCACGAGATGGCGCTGGTAATCCATATCAGAGTATAATAACACGTATACTAATGATGTGTATAACGTATATTTTTCGTATATTTTTGGGGGGTATATGCTCAATAAGGGGTGTAGTATAAATGACATGCTAGGTGGGTATGGTATAATATACATGATATGCTATGTGGTATGTTGTGTTTTTACTCTCTTTCTCTATTTCTATCTCTGTCTCTTTATTTATCTATCTATCTTTATCTCTCTTTCTTTCTCTCTCTTCTCTTTCTCTTTCGCTTTCTTTCTCTTCTTTCTTTCTCTTCTCTTTCTCTTTCTCTCTCTCTTTCTCTTTTTCTCTTTCGCTTTTTCTCTCTCTCTCTTTCTTTTCTTTCGCTTCTCTCTCTTTCTCTCTCTCTCTCTTATTCGCCTTCTCCGTTTCCTTCGTCCTCTACTTCTCACTTTTCCTTTCCCTATTCCTCTCCCGGTCCACTCTTCCCCAATCCTTCTACTTCTTCTCTTTCTCCTTCTCCTTTTCCTTCTCCCTCCTCTCTCCTTCTCCCTCTCCCACTCCTCCTTCCTTCTCCCTTCCCTCCTCCCCCTCTTATGCCTACTCCTTCTCCCTCTCCTCTCCTTTCCCTCTCACCCTCCTTCTCCCTCCCCTTCTCCCCTCTTATTCCCACTCCATCCCCTCCCCCTCTCACGCTCTCTCCCACCCTCTCCTTATTTCCCTCATTTCTCTCCTCTCCCTCTTCCCTCCACCCCCCCCCCGCCCAGTCTCGATTATTTATTATCTCTAATATCAAATAATATATCATTTCATAATCCAAAAGGCTCATCTCAATTTCACATGAATTTATTAATGAAGGAAGGTTATAATTATCCTTTTTTCAGGTGCTGTAAAGATTTTTTTTTTTTTTTTTTTTTTTAATATGTGATTCGTTTTAGGAAATTGAATATGCGATTGAATATACAAAAAAAAAAAATTGTATTCGGCATCATGGCGTTGTATAAATTGTAAATTGGGATATCACGTGTATGTCTTATTTAGATAGGAACTCAAAAAAAAAAAATAATGATAACGAAAAAAAAAACGCAATCATGGTTTAAAAGAGAAAATTATCCAATATCTGCCATGAAATTGCACTATCAAAGAGATGAAATACATTATTATAACGTCAGCAAGATCAGGATGAGGCTAAATTGTAGCTTTGATTATTCGAAAGAAAATAATAATGAAATAAACGAAAGATGATAAATCCAGGAAGACTATGGGAAAATATAGTTCACTCACGAGTTGCGATAAAGAACGGTTTTCAATTCACATCGTGACTATTTTTCAGATCGTGGGAATGAAAATTTCTTACTAAACCATTAAACATTAGAGAGAGAGAGGAAACATGACGAGAAGGACGAGGAAAAAGACGAAGACGATGACGAAAAAAGACGAAAAAAGGGAGTTTATACCAGGGGGTTCCTAACCTGGGCTCCATGGCTCCTAACTGGGGTCCATGGCTCCTAACCTGGGGTCCCATGGCTCCCAACCTGGGGTCCATGGCTCCTAACCTGGGGTCCATGGCTCCTAACCTGGGGCTCCATGGCTCCTAACCTGGGGTCCATGGGCTCCAACCTGGGGTCCATGGCTCCCAACCTGGGGTCCATGGCTCCCAACCTGGGGTCCATGGCTCCAACCTGGGGGTCCTAACCTGGGGTCCATGGCTCCTATGGGGTCCATGGCTCCCTAACCTGGGGTCCATGGCTCCTAACTTGGGGTCCATGGCTCCAACAACTGGGGTCCATGGCTCCCAACCTGGGGTCCATGCTCCAACCTGGGGTCCATGGCTCCCTAACCTGGGTCCATGGCTCCCAACCTGGGGCTCCATGGCTTCCTAACCTGGGGTCCATGGCTCCAACCTGGGGTCCATGGCTCCCAACCTGGGGTCCAGGGCTCCCAACTGGGTCCAGGCTCCCAACCTGGGGTCCATGGCTCCCAAACCTGGGGCTCCATGGCTCCCAACCTGGGGTCCAAAGGGCTCCCAACCTGGGGTCCAGGGCTCCCACCTGGGTCCATGGCTCCAGCTCCCAACCTGGGGGGGCTCCCAACCTGGGGTCCATGGCTCCCAACCTGGGGTCCATGGCTCCCAACCTGGGGTCCATGGCTCCTAACCTGGGGTCCAGGGCTCCCAACCTGGGGTCCATGGCTCCCAACCTGGGGTCTCCCAACCTGGGGTCCATGGCTCCAACCTGGGGTCCAGGCTTCCAACCTGGGGTCCATGGCTCCCACCTGGGGTCCAGGCTCCCAACCTGGTCCAAGGGCTCCCAACCTGGGGTCCAGGCTCCCAACCTGGGTCCAGGGCCTCCCAACCTGTCCAGGGCTCCACCTGGGGTCCCAACCTGGGGTGGCTCCCAACCTGGCTCCAGGGTCCAACCTGGGGCTCCCAACCTGGGGCTCCCAACCTGGGGTCCAGGGCTCCCAACCTGGGGGCTCCCATGGCTCCCAACCTGGGGGGGCTCCCTACCTGGGGTCCATGGCTCCCAACCTGGGGTCCGGTCCAACCTGGGGTGCTCCCAACCTGGGGTCCATGGCTCCCAACCTGGGGTCCATGGCTCCCAGTGGGTTTGCGAGTTACTTTCTGGGAGGCCATGGAACAATGCGAAAAATGTGACGTCGAACTGAACATAATTTGTACATATCTATACAAATAAAATCATATCTATGTATGTACAAATGTATACATATATATCTACATGTATAAACATACACATACATATAGACACACAATTCTTAATGTCAACACAACGCAGTATATAAGCGTCTATATGCAACAACGAAAAAGCTTTTCTTGGTCTTGCAAAAATAAACCGTCTTATTGTTTTATTCCACTATGTTCTATTTTCAAATAAACTCTTTGACTTATTCTTCTTCTTTGCTTTTGTTTTATGAGAAGAGATTTATCATCATCATCATCATCAATCATCAATCATCAATCATCAATCAATCATCACCATCACCAAAATAATTATCATCAATCATCATCATCATCATCACCACCACCAACATCATCACATTACTACCACCACCATCATCATCATCACCACCACCACCATTATCACCACCACCATCATCATTATCTTTACTATTACTATCAATAATCATTATTATGGTTACCATTATCATTACCACTACAGTACTATAGCTACTATCACAATTGCTATTATAATCGAAATCTTTATCAGTATTTCCACTGTTTCTCTCTTTTTTTCCTTTACGTATAAACATTAGAAAGATAGATGAATATATGATAAATCTGTTTAAAATCTTCCATATCAATGTTATATTATTATTCGTAAGAATGTAATGCAAAGGAAAATAAAATAAAAAATCAATGGAACAAAAATTACTGAAAAGAAATATAGAATAGATTTTTTTCTCTTTTTGATAAGGACAATAGAGAAAATAAAAGTTTTTTTTCTGTCCATAAAAAAAAATGAAAAGCTAATATGAATACCGGAAATTAATGAAATAAAAAAAACAACAACAAATTTAAATCACTGACCACCATGAAATATGACAAACATTGTTAAAACAGAGAAAAAATAACATAGAGCAAAAAATAAAATCACAAACAAACAAACGGAAAAGAAACAAATACATGCAATACCTACACATAATGTTTATCAATATCTATATATTTATTAATTCCTTTTTCATCATCTAATTTTATCTATGGAGATTTTACCTTATAATCTATCGAGTTATAAACATCATAACATGAATAACAAAATACTGAACAATAACAAGAACATAATCTAAATGCATCATTATTACCATTACTACAACTGTTATCATAACTGTTATTGTAATTGTAATTATTATCATTATTTCCATTATCATTGTCATTAATTACGTACAAATATTAAGAAAATAAACAAAGATATCTTAGACTTACCTAAATGCTCCATAAAAAGTTATAGAGAAATGTAAAGAATAAAACATCAAGTGGAAGTTTAACGTTTAAAATGAAAACAAGAAATATTGAAAGAAATAAGCAGCAGAATATCTTTTAAAGAAAAAAAACTAGAGAAATTCAAAGACAGGATTTTTTATATGAATAAAAACCATAAAAGCTAACATGAAAACTGGAAATAATGAAATGAAAATGATCTTGAGATATGAATAACTAATCACCATAAGATAAGACAAAGAAAAAACAGAGGAGGTGAAGGAGGAGGAGGAGAAAGGGAGGAGTAAAAGGAGGAGGAGGTGGTGGAAAGAAGACGAAGAAAAGAGGGAGAGGAGGGAAAAGGAGAAAGGAAGAGGGGAGGGGGGAGGAAGGGAGGAGTAAAAGGAGAAGGAGGAGGTGTAAGCAGACGAAGAAGAAGAAGAAGATGGAGGTGGTGTTGGTAGGAGAAGAGGAGTAGGTAAAGAGAAGGGGGGAGGGGTAGAAAGGACGAGGAGGAGGAGGTGGAAGAAGAAAGAAGAAAGAGAAGAGGAAGATGGGTAGAAGAGAAGGGGGAGGGGTAGAAGGAGGAGGTGGAAGAAGACGAAGAAGAAAGAGAAGGAGGAGATGAGTAGAAGAGAAGGGAGGGGAGAAGGAGGAGGAGGAGGAGGAGGTGGAAGAAGACGAAGAAGAAAGAGAAGGAGGAGATGAGTAGAAGAGAAGGGGGAGGGAAGGGATGGAGGTGGAAGAAGAACGAAGAAGAAAGAGAAGGAGGAGAATGAGTAGAAGAGAAGGGAGGGGTAGAAGGAGGAGGAGGAGGAGGAGGAAGAAGAAGACGAAGAAGAAAGAAGAAGAGGAAGGAGAAGAGACCGAAGAAGAAAGAGAAGAAAGAAGACGAAAGAAAGAAAGAGAAGAAGGAGATGAGTAGAAGAGAAGGAGGAGAAGAAAGGAGGAGGAGGAGGAGGTGAAGAAAGACACGAAGAAAGAAAGAAGAAAGGGAGAAGAGAAAGAGAAGGGGAGAGAAGAGAAGGAGGAGGAAGAGACGAAGAAGAAAAGAGAAGAGAGATGAGTAGAAGAGAAGGGGGAAAGAAGGAGGAAGGAGGAGTGGAAGAGACGAAGAAGAAGAGAAGGAAGAGGAAACGAGTAGAAGAGAAGGAAGGGAAGAGGAAGAAGGAAAAGAAAGGAGGAGGAGGTGGGAAGAAAGACGAAGAAGAAGAAGAAAGAAGAAGAGGTAGA